AGCTTTGCCTACCGAGCGGGCTGAGATTCCGCACCCAGAAGCACTCCGTGGAGCCGACGTTCCACTCTTTCGTGCTCACCAAGGAGGACGGGCACAGAACGTACGGGTTCAGTCTTGTTTTCTACGAGGAGTGCCGGAACCGGAAAATATGCGCGGCTATGCAAACACTGCAGGCGATGCATATCACGGAACTGAGCAGCGGCCAAAACGGTACACCGCCAACGTGAGTCCTCTTTACGCCGTCCTAATAAACGAGCCTATCCGCGAATTCAGAGGAGAACGTTCCACCGATCGGGTCGGACGATTCTCTTTCTATCTTACAGTTGAACCTGGATCAACCTTCAACCCTTTTAGCGCCGAACAACGATGTATCCTTGTTAGCAACACTTGCGAACAGTGCTAACGATGAGATATCGTTGCGTGTGCGATGGCGCCTTACTATTCGCGTCGCGAGAGAACTCAAAATAAATTGGTAAAACGTTATAAACGGTTGAATTCCTATTTAGAAGCTTTATGTCAGATGGTCCACGAATTGAAGAAATTGTTTATGAATTTAACTTTCCGTTGTGTTTCGCGATGATCGGCACTGTGGCTGTATACGCGAGAACGATAAGGCAGAAAACGCGTGGGATTTGCTACAAATAATTTTGTAGTTACTTTTATAGGTGATTTTGTAAGAAATAATTGAAAATGCAATATTTATGCTTTATACTATGTGTGTTTATATCAAACTAAGAACGAACTATGATTCTTTTTATTTGCAAATATTGTTTATACAAGAAATCTGATCCTTCCATTTGCTCTGATGACTTTGAATGAGTATTATTAGTATGATTTTCAATAAGTATTAAAATACAATTGACATTAATTCGTTTTCTCTTTATTTCGTAATGTGATCCTGTTTGAATTTTGTCGATATCATTCTTACCTTTTTTACTGATTTTTTTCAAGTCTTACTAAAAAGGTTAACACGTTCACTGCTACGAGAATTTTAGGCATTCTATACAATATTCCTTCTTTTATAACAATGACACATCTTACGGTAACCCATTCGCTGCTAGCATAAGATGTGTTCAATTTGTTTTGCTTTATATGGATTAGATTCACCGTTTGATTTTATTGCACGTGTAATGAGGGACTTTTGAAACTAAATTCCATGGTTAACAGGTTAACACGTTCGAGACTAGCGTCACGTAGAGTAATTAAGGGTGAGGTGGCCCGATCTCATTTACATTGTTAACGCTACGTTTACGGGCATTTATTATACGGTTTAATCCACTAGAAACATTCATGTTCGTTCGTTAAAGATAGATAATTTAGGTATATACTGGCATAATTGCATTAATCGAAGTCGACGTAAACATCTACCAAATCTACCAAATCTTTATAAGATTCAGTATGCGTCAAATTGACGCGTTCCGTAAATCTAGTATTGAATATTTATATTTTCAGTTGTTCTTAGTGCTATACTGAATATTGCACAGATGCCTATTTAACTATTCTCCTTATTTCTATTTACTTTCATATATATATACTTTCTTCTCGTTAGGTAGCCATGATATTTAAGATGTAAGATTTCTTTTAAGAAAAGTGGGCCATTTTTACCCTATTCGCGACGCTAAACATTTTGCATCTTGCGTAAAGAAAATCAATCACGTTCACGTGTGTTTCAGAAATCGTATGCGGACGAGAACACACCCTTAAGGGCGTATGCCTAGCTAGAAGCGTTTACTTCGGCTGCCTTAAAATTTTCTTGCGAAATAATTCCTTCTCGCGTAATTCCGTCCTTTTTGCTAATTTATCTAAAAATCTAAGAACTACATGTTCATGAAGCTGCAGTAATTTTAGTATTCCACGGGTGTAAGGGAGATAGTACAAGTTATCTTTTCATCGAATTGAATGTGATTGAACTAAATTGAATTAATCCCCTACGAAAAATTCGTTTTTCAGGGTAAGAAAAGGACAGGATGGACACAACACACGTTCGTTGCCACGGCACTTCAAGCTATCAGCACATTCGCCGAGCGCCGCGTTAGGCTACTATGACTCTACCAAAGACAAGTTGCTAGTGACTAAATCGATATCCTTGCTATGCCAGCAGCCTTACCTTCACGCGGCAAAAACGTTCCTCACTAATCTCTACAAGTAAGCTAGCCCTTGGACTCATAACAGCGTGATGTTCCTGGCGAGTTTCAGGAAATAAAGGATTCACCCAAAGGGTTTTGTCCCTGAAGGAATCTTAAGATTAAGCGCAACCTAACTTCTTGATATTACATGTTTTTTAAAGCTTCAAAGTCTCTTTTTATCTGTCGTCCCTTGCGGCGCCTTAATATTACTGATTTCTATTGCTTCGTCTGTTTCCTTTTTTTCATTATCAAAACACTTTTATTATTGTATTTTAGTATTTTGAGGAAGTAATACTATTACGAGAATATTGTGAAAATGGCAATCTTCAGCTTCTAAACGACTGTTTGTAAAAAAGACTTGTAACAGTAGTGTTAGTACTAGAAAAATAGAGAAACATTTCTTTGAGAGGAGTATTATCGAAGACGAAAGAATGAAGGATTTATAGATGCAATAATTGTGAAACGAAACTGTATATTCCTTGTTTGATTATTTGAATTCCTTGGTAAAACTGAATATTTCATTCTGATTTCAATATGCCTGACGAAGTTAATTAAATACAATTCCTCGCATGCGTTTGGATAATGTTATAAAAATATGTATTTCCTGTTTTAGATGTGTTCCTAGACACCCAGGACCTGGTCTTAGCTTAGAGTCCTACGTGTACAATCTCCTTTACAATGTACCGGTACCATTGCCTGGAAAGTCACTGAAGTTCTTCGTTCCCAACGATGAGCCAGCGAAATCGCCATTGGAACTGGTCATACACCATCCGACGCCGCTGCAGGAATTACCGATGCTAGATTACCCTTTGAAAGACATGTTTACGTGGCTCGGCGCCGACTGCGTGATTCAGTTATTCACTTGTGTCCTGTTGGAGAACCAGGTGTTGCTCAGGAGCACGGATTTCCACAAGCTGATGGTGGTATCCGAGTGTATAACGGCACTCCTCTTTCCATTTTCCTGGCAACATGTGTACGTACCTATATTGCCCGCCAGCCTGCATCATTTCTTGGACGCGCCGGTACCGTTCATAATGGGTCTCCACGTTCAGAGCGAGGGCGGTGTACTGAAAATTGCTAGCGAAGTGAGTGTCGACTTTTCGTCCAATTTGTTAGAGGCTTGTAGACCACTGAATGTAGGAGGCATTAGGAATGCCAGTTGGAATTGAGCGAATTCATCTCTGAAAATTGTACTCTTTCCATTTTACGTTTAATTATAATATAATGGATATTCAGGGCCGGCAGGATTTAGAACAAGATTTTTTTAACCCTTTCCACTCTATGGGCTCCACTGTTGCACCACTTATAGTATATATTTGAATGATCAAAATTAGTATTTGCTACATGTGAACTTTGTCCTAAAAATAAATAGAAAATATCTAAGAAATGTTATGATATAACATATTTGAATTTTTACCGGGAGTACTATATAAATGGCTTGGAGTTGGTAGTTCATAAGATCGTTTGGAGTAAAAGGGTTACATACGATTTATGCTAGACGATACATAGTTCAAATGGAATAGTGAAGTGGATGGAATATTTTCATTTTATATTTCAAATATATGTCTACTTAAAATATTGTTTGGTAATCAAAATGAATCGTGGAAAGAAATGGTAATGCGACACAGTATTTATGTTCTGTTTTCTGATTGCAGGCAAATCTTTGTTATGTAGATATAGATAAACAGAGTAGCCAATTTCCGGAAGAATTACCTGTGTTTCCTCATAAGATGCAATTCATTGCCGAGATTAGAGCTCTTCTAAACAAGTACAAAGTACCATACTCAGGAAAGTAAGTGAAAGGACGATTATATTTATCGTTGTGAATCTATTTTATGCAGCGCGTAAAATTTAGGTATCTCGTAGGACTGATAACATGGTCATCAATCATTACAATGGCGACATCATGACTAGTAGTTTGACGCTTCCTGGTTCCGGGTTTCATCTTCCTCGTAGAAAACACTCATTACATGATGTTCTCGATTGGGATCGACCCGATTCAACACCACAATCTGACGCATTACAAAGAATAGTAGATATCGTTACACGAACAGGTAAATTATTCAGCTAATTCGAAATCAATGTGAAACATTTATGGAAACCTTCACCTAACTATTCCTTTTGTAACAGGAGTGAATGTAGACGACATTGATTCTATAGAGGACAACGTAAAAGAAAGGATACTAACACCTCAAGAGGAGTATCAAGAGACACTTATGTTTAATAATGCCATTAGAGAGATTTTTTTGAATCGTTTTGTACAGATCTTTTCTAGTTATGAACACTTTGTTATTCAACCAAGTCAGGTAAGGAACAAGGCTTATAAAGCGTAACATTTAACTGAGAACACATTCAATAATGGCTTTTTAAATGCAATTGTATTGTAAGGGTAAAAGAAAAAATACTTTTGTATTATAGGACAAGGATGAATGGTTGAATAATAGAGACAGTATGCATGTTTTTGATAAGGCTACATTTTTATCTGACCAACCCACGCAGCATTTGCCATTTCTGTCTAGATTCCTAGAGACGCAAATGTTTGCATCTCTGGTAGACAGTAAAGTTATGTCAACGTGGAGCGAACTTGATTTTAATATACGAGTTTTTGACCAAAGAATTTCGTTCTTAAGGTTAGTTTGAAATGAAATAGAAATTCTTTCGTATTGTATAAGAACCTTTTCCTTCGTATATTTATTCTAGTCTTTATAGGAAAAAAGTTGGCGAGGGAATTGTTCGATCAACACGATACGAACCCTGCACAAGTGTAGAAGAGTCACAGAAGGTGTTAGAGCTAAGATTAACAAATGTGGATTTCGAAACGAATCCACCCACTGAAATGCTTCCTCATAGAGCAGCGTATTTTCGAAGTTTTCCTTTGCTAGACAGTGTTGCATTAAATAAGGAACCAGCTCAGAGGTATATATGTCATATACAAAAGTACTTTAATATATAATAGAGTAATAGACTAAGTATAATAAAATATAATAAAAAATAACATTCTAACATGTACTGTCTTATTTCCTGCTTCATGTGTAGCATACTTCGGTAAGACTTTAAATAACATTGTGCATGCATACTTTGTGTTAGATTAATTGTATCTTGTTTTTGAAATTTAAGTCACAGAAATTTTATTTATTCTTTAAGCAATCCTTGACGTTTGATTTCGTTGATCAATCAATTTTATTTATTATTTGGAATTAAATTCGATAATTTTCCTTTTTTATGCAGCAGTCGGAGGGGACAAACTCAATGGAAGTATAAAATGAAATCTATGGAAACGAATGGGAAGCCACCTGCACCTCAAGAGACTCAGTCACCTAGGCCACAGACCAAGCTTTCAGCGGACATGAGTCCAGCATTAATTGCCCAAGCTAATTGGACTTTCGTTGAAAAATTGCTCAAGGTATTGTGGAAACAAAAAATGATATGTTACAATAGAAGAACATTTTAATGTAAATTTAAATTTGTTCTTGTGTCAAGGATTGCAAATCGAAGACAAAAAGGATGTTAGTTGAAAAAATGGGCTCTGAAGCTGTTGCACTGGGTCACGGAGGGGAGTCTTTGTCCGATGTAGAAGAAAATACTTTAGTTGCCAGTCTTTGCGATCTCTTGGAACGTGTTTGGAGTCATGGATTACAAAATAAACAAGGGAAAAGTGCTCTTTGGTCGCATCTCACCATGTATCAAGAGTTGGAAGAGTGTAACGACGCGACTAAATCTATAGATCCTAATTTTCTTTCTCCTGGTAAGTTAATATTTATTTGTGATCACCAATATATGTCACACACGTGTTAAAAAAGACGTTGCAATATTTATATGGTACATAGAACGCATTACACGAATTGCAACCTTTTTTTTTAAACACCCAATAATTATGCTTCATCATCGTAATCGCGAATCCTAATACATTTTATCACATTTGGTAATTCAGCGCTAGCGTGGTGCGTGCTACGGAAACGACTTGATTGTACGTGCCTTATTTTATTTAAAATAAAGTGTTAAAAGTAGAGATTAGTTTCTCATACGTAGATACTCTGCACTGTATTAGTTGTAAGTGACTCAATATTGATAAACAATTTATCACTCTCTATATGTTTTTGGCTGAAATTGCACAACATGTATATTTGTTGCTATTTCCTAGACAAATCATATTTCAAATGCTTTGAAAAATACGATTTACAGATCAAATATTTTACATATAATTTTATTTCATTAAAAATGGTTTTGCTTAACTTCTATTGAATTATTTCATTTCAATTAATTTTACATATGTACTTTCTTAATTTATGTTTCTTTTATAATTTATCCTCTACCTTCTGTTATATTGTTCTCTGTTTATGGTGATGTAAACATATGCACAGTACATAACATATAGTTTTATTTAATTTCTAAACAATGAAGAATAATTAAGTTGGAATTTGCATCATTATTTAAAACATAGAACAAAATTTCTTTTTCCGTTAACTTTTATTTGTTTTTTATTTCCTGTTGTAAATAGACAAGAAATCACCAAATAAATTTTTTGGATTACCGGACCGTTTAATTTCATCGTTTAAGGGCAGAAATATTTTTGAGATTGCTTCTTATATCAAGGAGAATTTTAATGGTAAGCCTTATTGTTGGCTTGCCACAAGGAACATCATTCAGTTAACCTGACGTATAACATTACTTTTGTAATGCTTTTCATTTTATTCCTATGATTGTCAGTGAACTGCATGAGTGCATTGTATTTATTGATGTTTGAAGAAGTGTTACAAAATTATACATACTAATTTCAGTAGTACTGTCTTTGAGATTTTTTCATTATAAACGATATTAGTGAAATCAGTATAAATACATATTGATACGGATAATCAGCATGCGATTGCAAATACCATTGAAGTAAAAAATTGTATTTTGTACATGGAATGTTTCATTTATTTTATCAACAGAGTATTCTTATTTTGTTTGTGTCCAAAGCATGAACATTGTTTGCATGGATTTCCAAAAATATGTTTGAAGCACTGTGAAAAAAGTAATTACTTTATGCATCATTGCTCTATTAGTTTTTAATTTAAATTTTATGTTATCGGATAATATCAGATTTATCGAATTTGGCATTGGAAACCGATGTTTCACCAACCCGAGGATCAGACAAACATAAATCTCCTGGAGACAGAAAGATTGGGCCTGAACACCTGAGGCCTTTACCTGATTCTTTACTCTTTGATATTAGAAATGTTCAAGCCATGACAGATATCAAGACTCACATTGGATATGCCAGAGCTTGGGTTCGATTGGCATTGGAGAAGAAACTTCTTTCTCGTCATTTGAAAACGTTATTATCTGACACGACTTTATTGAGGTAGTTTACATGTACAATCAAAATATTTTAACAAACATATATTCTTCTTAATCATGTTTTATATTATATACAACTTTACAGGAGTCAATATAAACGTTCAGCATTTCTACGTTGCGAAGAAGAGAAAGAGCAATTCTTGTATCATCTTTTAACATTGAATGCAGTAGATTATTTTTGTTTCACTAACAATTATCCAACTACCAAATTGCCATATAGGGTTGTCATATTTCCTAGTCGTAAAGCGAGTGCAGCTACTACTTCAGCGAACAGTTGGATCGCTATTTCAGGCAGCCTTTGCGAAACAAATCCAGTTCCCATACCCAAGGGAGCATTAGAATTTGTATTTCACGTATGTATCTGTTTCATTTCGAATCTATTTACCCTAAGATATTTTAATATCCCAAAATAAATGTTCCTATTATTTCTATAAAAAGAAAATTTTCTATAAAATTTCTGTCAAGGATATCATTTTTATTTCAGCATAAAAATTTGGGTGTGCTCTCTACATTACGCATAGGACATGACAATACAGGTCTTTCTCCTAAATGGATGGTAGAACACGTCGTGATAAGAAATGAAGTTACAGGGCATACGTTTAAATTTCCTTGTGGTAGGTGGCTCGGCAGAGGTATTGACGATGGCTCTACCGAGAGATTGTTAGTAGGGGCTTTAGTACCTCGTAGCATTGATAGCGAAGAACTAGTTGAATCATGTTCAACACCACCCAGGTGTAGATCGCCTAGTATTCCCAGGCGACCCATATTATCTCAAGTTGAGTTGCAACATATGCTAGGTAATTAATTATTTTTGTTCAGAGACCTCTATTATTTTTATATTTAAACGAGTGTCTTCGAATTATATGTTTTTCATTGTAAATTAATGTTCACGTGTAATTCATCTGCTTGTCTATAGGAGAAGCTGTAAATGCAATTGTTAAATTCCACTATAGAAGAGAGTGCCAAGATGGCTCCCTGACAGCTTTACTTTGTGGAGAAGGCGGTCTCGTCCCGTCATTAGAGCAAATATTTTTATTCGGGTTCAAAAACCAGAGGATATTTGGCAGAAATTTTTATGTTTGGGACTATCTCTGTAAGTTATTTTTTTGTTATCTTGTAACAGATGCTCTTTTCCATCGCTACAATTTAGTTATATGAAAATTTCAGTGTATATGTAATCATAAGTTTATTATATATTAATGTAAATCTGTTTAGTGCGCATCAAGGAGAATTTTGAAATTTCATTACTGGAAGAAATGGATGAATATTCGCAACGACTGAACAGAGATAGGCGAGCTGCACATGCAGAGAGTAATCAGAGGTTTGCAACTTTGAGATGTTATTGTCACCTCATTGATCAGATTAACATGTTCAGCCAAACTCTTGGTAAAGATGGGAAGTTTCAACTGTTTATCTGCTTGGCAGCGAGGTAAATATGTCTTGAATATTTGCTGGGCAGATTCTTACTTCATGTTTGCTGATTTATTTATTAGGGAGCAGCTTCTTCATTCGATGCTACGACCAATGAGTGAAGCACGTTCTACCGCAGACATGTACGAAGAAAGTTCATTTCTGAGGAACCGTACGTTATTAAATTTTCTCGTTCATATTCTCGAGCCATTGTGCGAATTCCACATTGTTCTTGAAAAGAGTCTGACTCACGGAATTTCAAGTATATGTTAACTTACAAGAAAACATTCCGTTTGATTAGGTAAGATTTATTTAAATAACGATCAGTGATATCTGGACATATCATTTATTCCATTTTATAGTTGTGCGGTATACACGTTGAACGAGTATTCATATATAATTTTATTTTTGTAGGACATGTTTCTTTGAAGCAACACAGTTTCGCAAATTCTAAATAATATGAAGTGAAAAAAAGAATGAGAGTTATATTGGAGAAATGAAGAAGTTTCTAAACTTATTATTAAGGAACTAAAGAGGAATTTAATAACGCAAATGAAGACTGTTACAGAACTGTAAAATAGTCGTTTTTAGATGACAAATCATTTGATGAGAACGTTAATACGTGAGTGATAACGAACGCGAATAGATAAAGAAATCGTAGATCTTGCTCTGTTTCCATAAATTATGACAACAATGAAGATAAGAGTCAAAGCGAAGATGAATTTAATTCAGCCCATCTTGCCCTAGTTATTCGTATAAAGCAAACTGACGAATCGTGTACCAAAGATGTGATCCTATTAGTTGTTAATATTAGTATTATTGATAACGTCATTATTCTTAAGTCTTTAGTTTTTTTACAGATTTTTAGTAAGCAGACATTTAAGGAAAGCGCAAACAATGTGTATCGCGATGACCGAAAAGATAAAAGGGAAGAGTATGGTTTTTACATATTCTATCAGTAATTATCTCAATTGAACAATTAAAACGAAAACAGAATCTTCTTCCAAAAATAGAATAGAAAAAGTTTACATAAGGTTATTCTCAAAGCAGTTTCATGTATTGTATAATGTTTCCCATTTCTTATACATTGTTTAATCATGTGAACAAATTTTTACGATATTCCATAATACTCTCTTTTACAAAATTGCATTCGGATACTTTTATTTTTATTAGTTGAAAAAAAATATTTAATGATATGTTTTATGTTTTATCCATATTTAAAATCAGGCAATTGTATTCGGTTTTTGTACTTTTCTTTTGATCAAATAATTTCCTGCATTTTGTACTTTTCATTTTTACAAGATTTGATGCTCGACCGGTGTATTATAGTTCATATAAAAACCAAAAGGATATAATGCATCATAAAAAACATTCAAATGCGTTTTACAAAAATGGACCAAATAACGTAATCGTTTATTATAACTTCTGAAGTGCGGTCGTTCATTTTTTTAACATTCAGGGTACATGACATTGGTCCCAATTATTCTTCAAACTTTTAAGGTACTTGATGGTCGGCGGAACTTGATGGTAATACCAACGTTTCGCTGGAATAGTTACCAGAGTACAATTTCACCGCTAATATTTCACGTTCAATAACGCATAGATAGGAATCATTCTGTCGTCGTATTATTAATCCTTGTAATATTGCTCGCCCCTTGTATGGTTATGTGCGAATGACACTTCTAATTTCAAATGGTCTAATTTTCAATGCCTTTACTGTTTTTAAGTAGTATAAGGAAGATTGACGATTTGCAAAATTTGGCACAATATTTGAATTAGAAAAGAAATTAATTTATTTATAAATTCCTTTAATACAAATACTGAATAACAGTTGATTTTGAGTAAAGAAGAAATTACATTACACATCTCTGTTGCTACCCTTATCTCCATTCGCACATGATCAACGTGTATATTCATTGTATTCATGTTGCTAACAAATACTCTTTGTGAGCTGCGTAAATTTGTGAACGTAAAAGTTAAGCCCTAGTTTTTGTTAACACATTACTTGTCAAGTAGAAATATTTTTCAATTTCTTCTTTCAACGTATACCATTCATAAGTTTTAGGGTTTATAGAAATGGAGCACGTAGGCTTCTTTACACTAAAGTACATTTTACTAACTTATACACATATTTCTATATTCAAAATTAATTGAATTCTCTTGTTAAACAAGTCACAAATTAGAGGCAGGAAGCAATGTGTTAACATATGAATGAAAAGAAGAAGAGAAGAGGAAAAGGAGAGTAGATTCTATTGGTTTATTATTAATTATTTCATTAGTTTTTGGTTTACACTTCAGATTTAGTTGTTAAACAATTATGTTACTGCATAATGTTAAAACAAGTAATAATACTCATATAATGATCTAGTTGAATTCCTTTTTCTGTTTTTTCAGGTGTAAATGATAAACCTGTTTTTCTTTTAAGGGAATAGTGTGTATGCGTGTATATGTGTATGTATGTATGTACGCAATCGTTTTAATGATAATTGTATTTTCGACTGAAAGAAAACAATGAAGAAAATGTTATTTTAGTTAACTGTAAAACGTGTACTATGATCGTTTTAGATCAAGAAGTCATGTGTTGCATTTTATTATTTTGTTTTATAGTTTACACGTGCCTCGTGTAGTCATGTCATAGTCACGAGAAATTTATAATATTAGTTACAATTCTTTTATCATTATAACTATATTAAAGTGACACTGATCATTTGTCTTTATACTTTCAAGGTAAAACGTTAATTTTAGTTCTGAGAAAATGGATACGGAAAATATTTAAAAAATTTCTAAGAATAAAGAGATCAATCTTGATTGTCATCCCTTTTGGAAATTAAGTAGAATTAAAAGAATGTTTCTAGAACGATTGGAATGCAAAAACAAATTTAAACAATCATATTGTTTCTAAACTATAAATTCTTCTACATGACTTCCACGAACTCGATGAACTACAAGATTTCTAATACTCAGTTGGATATAAGATTACTTGTAGATTTCAGTTAAAGTTTCTTAGTTGTGACTATCTGATCATGATCTATGTTCGATTGTTCCTCATTGAGAAAACCGTTATTCTACATGATTTGTACATAAGTGAGAAATTAAGAAGCTTGATGTATCGTATAGAATCTTTTACAAGACGACCGTCATAATAGAATTGTATATATAAAAATGGCAAAATAAGATATAACATTGTACAGTAGAATAAAAGATTACCAAATAAAAGAGTTTCATTCATGCTGTGTTGTTATTTTGTTTAACAATTGTGCTACCATACGGATCAATTGAATAGTTTATCATATTTTATGTCATAATGTATGAAAGGATTATTGTAAATGGATTATTAGACATTACAGTATACACCAACGGAACATCTATTAAAATTAAATTTCAAGTTGCAAAATAAATTTTAGGATTTTAAATCAGAGATAATAATTTTAGATAATAACAATATTTAATTTTGTAAAAATAAACAGTGAGCCAAGAAAATCCTCGCAAATTGCATAAACATTATCAGTATAATAATTAATGTATAAGATAGCTTCATCTACTGTGAAATGCGCAAACTTGGTTGTTCAACAGTTCAAGCATTTTGGCACAGATGGCGCCACTATCACTCCGCGTGAATTCCCACATCGGTAACATTTATCTACCAGTTTGAGCGTTTTGCCACGAATGGCGCCACCAGTCGAAACCGTAAATTTTCGTAAATACAATCAAATATACATCGAGCTTACGATCTTTTCTAATAAATACAAATATAAAAAATAAATACAATCGACGATAATGCTAATTTCCAAGTCTCATCACGTGTTGGTTATTATGTACGAGACTTTTAAGGTGAATGGTAATTGAATGTAGGGAATTAAGGTTTGTTACTGGTATGACGGTTTGACTTGATCACAAAATTGCCAGAGATATTTAGTCTATTCTATAGTTCATTACTTTATGATCGTAGCAGAAGTATGTTTACTTCTGCCCACGTGCTGCTTGATTACGTTTTGCTACGGTAGAAATAATGTCGCAAACTAATGATAGTGGTTCGTTTATAAGTACACCTGGATTTTGTTCTGATTGCGGGTCAATTTTACCTTTGTTAGGCGATAAAGGAAACGTGAGATGTTATGCCTGCAAACGTGAATGGGGTCCTGAAGGTCTTTATTTCTTACTTTACTATCTTGACATATAATAATTTTAATGTTCATATTGTACGATATGTATTACTGACTGCAGCTTTCGGTGACATGGCTATGTCATATACAATTAATTTCAATGAGGACAATGTTTACGCGTCAGCAAAACAGAAGGATGAAACAGAGGAAGATGCGGAAGGTCCAGTTGTTGAAAGGAAATGTCCACAGTGTCAGAATGATAAAATGTCATATGCCACCTTACAGTTGAGATCTGCCGATGAAGGGCAGACTGTGTTTTATACATGTACCAAGTGCAAGTAAGTCTGTTTTTAATAATATATAAAGGTATTTAGAAACAGGAACTATTCACAAACATTTAATAATTTTTTTTAGATACAAAGAGACAGAGAACTCATAACATATACAGTGTACATTCATATTTGTAAAGATATAAAAACTGTTAAACAATTATTAAATCATGAACACTCTGTGTTAATAAAACATAGAGCTTTATTCACGATACATTCAACAAATATCAATCAAGGGACAATAATAATTTAATAATACCACTGAATTATCAGTATATTTTCACCCTAATTATCTGTGATTGGGTATTTTTACTTGTATCCTCTTATTAGTATATACTCGATTAAATATTTTGTACAATATGTTGGAATAAAAGTTAACAATTAGTTTGAGAAGTTTTTCTTGATCCATTCTTGAAACCATTACAGTGGTCCTTTCATTATAAAATCATTGTATTTAAAGAGTCTGTTAATATATCGCTTATGCTACAAATACACTTAATCATTAGTAGTACTGGTAGCAATATTATTAATCATCATTAATAATAAAGAGAAATAGTTTTATTATATAGAGGAATTTTTAACAACCACTTCAGCAACTTAATCGTATATACAAAGAGGAAATCTTGAACTCTGACAGTTAGAGGTTTTTCTCATATTAGTAAAAATATCAAGAAACAAAATTTATCTTTATATGTACGTAATATAACGTTTGCAATCTTAATAGCTTCTAGAATTTTCCATTATATAATTATAACACAAAGTAACAGTAAAAACAATGTAATAATAACTACAACACAAGCTCTATCAACATTACATTAAGTATTAACCATTGCCCATAAACTATAAACCCAATAAAAACGAATATTATCAATGGTACTGTTGCATACATATCTCTAGCTTCCTTTCTCTTAGAAAGAAACACATCCGCGTCGGATAGTCTTTTATAAACACTCCTGAAAGTTACTATCAACCATTTCTTTTTCACACAAAGCTCACACTTGCCTCGCATAATGATAAAACAACGAACAAAACGCAAGAGGAACATGTTCTTTAAATTCGTTATAATAAAAGAGCTCCTTACTCTCTGCTCCATTGAAGTCTTCAGGGGATTCCCTAACTTACTTGTACAGTGGATTTCATATGATGCAATATTTCTTCAGCGTTTTTTCTTTATTACTTATACAGATCTCTTATCCCAGGTCCATTAGGCCTTCGATGGACGAACAAACGAACTGGTCATGTTGAAAAAATATTCTAAAGAAAACTCTACCAACCAGTTCGTTATTCCTTAACAGGTGGTAGGTGTGTTGGCCCAAACAATTCGAGAGTACAAATGCTTCCTTAACACTAGAACTACCAAACACTTAAACTGTCTTTTGAAAATGTCTTTATAAAAGCTGTATGCGTGAATTTATTAATCCCTTGTTCTATAACAACAAGTGAGACTTGTGAAAATTTTCAACATGATTCAACAAATATATATATTACTCAGTTCATTGGAATTCAAAGTAAATATTATTCCTCTGTAATCAACTATTATACTTAAAAGGAGATATATACATAACATATGCTTAGAATTTTTCTCTTTTTCCAATAAATTATTAATGGCAAAGTAGCCAAATCATAGACCAAGCAGTTAACATTTCAATTGGTTTATACTTTAGTTTATGTATTACTAAATCTGCTTCTTTAATCATTTCTTAAAAAAGTATCTATATGTCTGCAGTCATTCCAAAAGAAGAAATTAGGAATTGGTCATTTTGACCCACCTGGTAGTTCTAGTGTTAACACGTTAGCTAGCAGCATTTGTTTTACTGACGAGACTTCTCAATTGTAATATTTTATTCAACTCAGCAAATCTTCCAAAGGAAATATTGGAAAAATGAAATTGAAGCGAGTCATTGAGTTCCTAAATATAATGTCATATCTTATAACTTCAACCCTCCATGGGCCGAATTTTTTTCGTGACTATAAAAATATGTATACAATATGAAGTTAATAAATATCAACCTATGAATACAAATTAACAATGTATTCAATAGTCTAAATAATTTTATTAAAACGAACATGTTTTGAAAGTTTGAAACTACAATGACGTTGAACGTTTAAGTCTGTGTGTATAAAAGTTTAAGTTAATTAATTAGTGAATTTCATTCGTCATTTTGCGATAAAAAATTGAATAAATCAATTTAACCCAGTATATTGCGCGACTTCAAATTCACATGAGTCTATAAAGGGTTAAATGAAAATATTTATAAGAGCAATCTTAGTTTCTTTATGTAAAATACACGATTTATATTTTAATATAATATATATTAATATATTATACAACACGTCACATATTTGTGACGACTGCAATCCTATATTTTACAGAATGAAAATGAAATTAATCCTATAGATATTGTTATTAGAAATTATAAACTACGACATTATATTTAGGAGCTCGATGACTCGTTTCAGTTTCATTTTTTAAATATTTTGTTTAGATTTATCATTGAAGAAAATATTATAAGTGAGAACGTCACCGAAGCTAGTAGCAAACGTGTTCAGTGATCTATCAAACACTAAGTACACATATTTCTCCTCAATAATATTGTTTAAGACATATATTAACAAATTCTGTTAAATCGTTTCTAATAAATACTCTCGTAAGCCAGTAACTTTACAACGTTCTCAGAAAATAACATTATTCTAGCCCTGATTCGTTATCATTTCTCGTATTTTCTCATTTCCCAGTTTTCTCGTATGTCATCAACCCTTTGCACTCGGAAGTCCCTCACTAGAAATATTTAACATTTTTTCACGAGACAACGACGACATGAAACTAACTCGAACAGAAATCACAATTATATTGAGGAACAAAGCTATTTTGTTCCAATATTTCACAAAGTTCAACATTAACCCTTTACGAATGTCGACATTTCGGCGAGATGAAATATTCATATTAAGAAGACTAAATCGCAAACGAATGATTGAATTACTCAAATAGCAAGAGACAAACACGAAGTTTCCTTTTTTTCTATTGCTTCACCCGTTCGCTACCAGCCCTTATTTCAGTGACGGTCTCCTCAATTATATTTTCTTTAATCCAATAAATCTAAACCAAGTATTAGAAAAATGAAACTGAAACGAGTCATTGAGTTCCTAAATATAGTTTATAATTTCTAATAACAATATCTATAAGATTAATCTCATTTTCATTATGTAAAATATAGGATTACGGCTGTAACAAATCTGTGACGCAGCGAACGTGTTAAGCAATTGCTATATAATTTAGCTTCGTCTGTTAAAGGTTTCGTACATTTCAAAGAATCTTCGCCACAAAGGGTTAAACATCAAATTTTATAGTTTTTCGTAAAATTAAGTGGTGAACTTCAGTCGCATTCCAAGTGACATTTCAAAGAATCTTCGTCGTAAAGGGTTAAACATCAGATTTTATAGTTTTCCGTCAAATCAAGTGGTGAACTTGACTGACCTTCTGAGTGCAAAGGGTTAAAAATGTCCTCAACACGACGTAAAATCACGCTACAGTTTGAGGGATAGAGATCGATCGGCTGTTCGTGGTCGCTCTCGTTACGTCCGATTTCTATTTTACCATCAGCTTACCTCTCTGTTTGGCAGCCAGAGTATGTATCTATAGGTATGAACGAGTTGTCGAGAGATGGAGCATATTGGTAGTTATTAACGGGGAAGCCCGGTTGACAGTGACCTCGAACACCCGCTCGATTCGAGTCGGACTATAGCACAGCGTACGGAACAATTATATTTTCACTTGAAAACACCGGAGTTCGAATTTGATAACAGTGTCTATATCTATTCTGTCAATGAAAAACGATTCGAATACACAATTGTCGGTCATCGGGATACCGATTCATTTTTTTTTTCTTATCGTCCCTCGCGGAATCACGAGGAACGGTCGGACCATTCTTCTTGCGACTGTTTGCGTCGAGTGTACCTATTTTTAGGTTCTCCCTTTCGATTATATACACTAACGCTTCAATACAATATTACATATTGTACATCGAGTATGTACACGTGACAGGGTATTTACAGGTGGAATGTGAGGCAGGTGACGCGGAGGATCTAGATTGTCGGTTTGTGTCTAACGCTGTGATCATGATGAGGCTTCGAAACATTCGTCCAAAAAGTTCTCCAATGAGTGGTACAGGTGAGCTCTCGATTGGGCGATCCCGTGGTCTTCGTCCGTGTATGTCTGCGGAAACGAGAAATCAACATGTTAATTTAGATAATTAGAGACTCATGGAAATCCTTCATATTTGATTAAAATTCTTTCATTCGATATCACTAAAGTTTAATTCAATTTCGATTAAAATTCTGTGATTCAATTTTACTAAAATTTCATTCAATTTAGACTGAAATTCTTTCACACTGTGGTCTTTTATAAAATGATTTGGTAGATTCTATAACAGCGGTTTCCAACCTTTATGCTACTACGCCTGCCTATCTTTTAATAGATATAATAATATAGACACGTTTTAAATAATAACAACTTTATTACAAAATAAACATTACTTCGCTGAATTTGTACTGTTACGTTACGATGTGAAGTTTATTTGTTTGTAGATATTATGCTATGAACATTAATTTTTTATTAGAAATTTTGCCACCTCTCAGGTTGGAAACTACAAAGAATGTTAGATATGTTTGGCCCACGACGAGCAGCTTCCAAACAAAACGGCCGGATGTGAGAGAGAAAGAGTGAGAGAGAGAGTTAACGTTAATTATAAAGTAAACTAGGTACCTGTTGTCGAAACAGAATATCCTTCTGCTCGAGTACCTTGGCGAGAAGCAGAGATTGCTGATAGTGCACGTTGTCGTCCAAAGTTCCGTGGATCAAGTAATACATCTTTGTTTTAATATTGTCTACCTTGTTCAGTAGTTCACCCTGCTCGTAGCCGTGGGAATTGTCCTCGACCGTGGGCAAACCCATGAACCGTTCCGTGTAAATTGAATCTGTAAATCGTGTTAATTACAAGGTTAATTACGAGCTTCGAACCACTTTCCGTTCACCTCCGCTTTAATTTATTTTCGCCCAGACCTCCTTCAATCTTTTTTTCCATTTCACCGTTACCTTTCCCCAAGGAACCCTTTCACTTCTTGACCTCTACACGGAGTGCTAATTGTAAAAATCATAATAATACTGAGTCACGTGATGCGTGTTCCTCGGAGAATTAAAATTTGCTTCGGTCGCTGATAGCTGAAAAAATGTTTCCTCTGTTAAACACACTGGTACTTAGAGACTGATTTAATTGTCAAACGAGAAACCATCATCATTAGTTTTCGAGAAAACGACCATTCCGTTTCTGACAACTTTTCACTTACACTACTGTGATTCTAAGCACGCCATATAATTGCCGTTCCCTTAATGGAAAATAAATGACCAATTATCACGCTACAGCCCGTGCTATCACCAGTGTTATTTTACATACGGCAATCAAAACGGCGTTACGATAAATCAACTCGCGTTGTTTGCATAACGGGTCAATTAAGAAACAATATCATTCCCGATGCAACCCGATGTGCGCCGGTTTTCCCAAGTGCAACCGTTTCCAATTAAAACCGCCATTTTCTTCCGCAGCAAGAATTTCAATACGCGCCGCTGCAACAAAGGCAATCGGGACCGCGCATATAACAATATTTATATTCCATATTGTTAACAAACTTTAATCGAGTCCAATAAAACCATTCGCCTCACGATGCGATGAATCGACAATCGCCGGGAGCGCGTAAAATATAATACCCAGTCGACCGAAAATCGTTCGTAACTTTCTAATATCAACATGAAAACCGAACAAATTAGAATCTACCGGAATACACGTAACATCAATTAAAACCTCCGTAACGCTTTCGAATGAATATTAATCAAAATGTACCTATCACTTCTGAATTCGCAACAAGAACGAGACAACATAAGGATTTAATTAAACGGCGTACCGGTCAAGTTCCAGTGGGAACAACATGGTCGCCGGGAAGAAAATGGCGGCCGGCGTAAACATGTCCCGCGTCGCGTCCCGTCCCATCGCGTCGCGCCGCGTCGCGCTTTAAGCGTACTCGTGAATCATATCGGGATACTTAATTAATCCGCGGAAGCTGCAGGGAAATTGCATCGCGCCTATAATAGGTCTGTGTTCGCCGGTGGATATTAAGCTTTTCCGACAGTCGGGCGCAACAATGGCGGGAATGGAACGGCGATGAAATTCTCCGGAAACCTGCGTGTTCGTGGAAGAAAAGGGGTCCAGGGGCGGGGAACGATGTGAAAAATGATCGAATCATTTTACGCCGCGTTGTGAATAAGCGCTTTTAATAAAATGTTTGTGCCCGATGATTTATGGCGGACAGGAACGCAGCTATTCCGGCTTCCGTCGCGCCAGAACCGTTTCGTTTCCGGTTTAACGGGCCGCCTCGGCCAATTGCTGTGAGTGTTTCTCCTCGTTTCGAAGACGCTTACGGCCGCGCACTTTAATCCGTCCCTACACGCACCCCCTTCAGCACTAAATTCACCGGAACGAATCGTGCGGACCTTTTATTCGTCATCGGAATTACCGGTTTGGATTTCCTTCGTTGCCTTCCGACCTTTCCACCCAGTGGATGTTCACGCGTTTCTTTTATGGCAATGCGTCTGCCGTTTGGGCGACACTCGCGCGTTGCGATGGTTTTAACCCTTCGCACTCGGAAGTTCCGCGCTAGAAATATTTCACATTTTTTCACGAGGCGAAGACGATATTCTTTGAAATTAACTCGAAGAGAAATCAATTAAGGAACGAAGACATTTTGTTTTAATATTTCACGTGTCGGGGCATTATACAAAGTTAAGAAACAAAACATTACATATCAGATTTTATAGTTTTATTGCGTCAAATCAAGTGACCTGAGAGTCATCTCTCGAGTGTAAAGGATTAACTGGCAACGTTTCCGGTAATAAATTTGGAAATTGACTTAGACTATGGAGTTCATTGAAGTTAGATCTATGAGATTTAGGAGGAACATTAACACGTTCGCTACCAGTGTCACATATTTGTGACGATCGACATTTCACATCTTGCAAAGAAGAGTGAATTACATTTACGTGTGTTCTCGTCTAGCATTGCAACGCACGGTATAAAGTGCAGAAAGCTATGGAGATATTTTTTGAATACTCTGTATTTTATACAAACGATATGTTCTATTTAACAAAGTATTGTAATCACAGCGACTGTTATTGAAAGAACTGCTGGTAGCAAATGTGTTAAGGGAGTAATCGTTCAATCCTGTTTCATTAAGAGAATTGCTACTACTGCATTGAATTTTTTTAAGTGCCAATTTCTTTGATCGAAGTATTATAATTTTTATTGTAACACTGCTACGAGCCTAACACGTTTGAATTCCTTTCTCCAAGGAATCTTCCCCTTGCTTGAGAAAAGTCTTGCTCCTCCGCAAGATCAAGATGTGCGAAACGCAAACGTGCGAATATCGGAACCGAGCTGCGCGAGGCAAAGAGGAAGACGAGCCACGTGTTCGCAAGATTTGTGTTTTACGCGGTTGGTCGTGGTCCAAGAAGGGTAGAAATTGTGTTTCTGAATACAAATTTGAGATAAAGAGCGGCCACGAAGAAATCCTTCTCTTTCCAAGACACGAATGCGGCGAATCCAGCTCGCAGCGGATATTGATGTCTGAAACTTTGAACCGCAATATCCGGAAATGGCAAACGCGTGACTCACCGCCGCGCGGAAAAATTGCAACCACGCCAAGAAACCCACCGACGGATGGAATAGTTTTTGTAATCCCCGCAACCGATACAGAAATACAATGATTACGAGCAAACTTCCATTCCAGAGCAGTCATTCAACGGATATTTAACCGTTCGAGTCCCACGGGTTTTCGCAAAAACCCCGTTGAAAAGTGGCGAGCAACGTGATCGCGCTTCTTTCGTTTCGATTCAGAAACTGAGTAACGTTTTCCTATTTTTACATAAGAGAAACCTATATAATGCGATCGTTCCGTTTCTAAGCAAGTTGTAGTAAGAGTAAAAATGAATAATTAGCAGGAAAACGTTAATCCGATTCTACGAACCGATAGGTTAGCGCTTTCAGGCACTGCAACTATCGTTTCAATTCAGAAACTGAATTATATTTTCCTATTTTTACATAAAAGAAATCTACACAGTGCAATCGTTTCGTTTCTAAGCAGATAGTAATAAGAGCAAGAACGAATAATTATCAGGAAAACGAATAAATAAGCTTAATCCGATTCTACGAACCGATAGGTTAGCACTTTCAGGCAGCGCAACGGAGAGACGCCATCGCGCCGCTTGGGACTCGAACGATTAATACCAGGGCGCGCTTCTAGCGAGCGGCAGTCGCTTCCTTAATTCATATTTCCTTCGCGCAGCAATTTTTCCTTGGAATAGCGTATCTTGCCTGGTTCGCTGATAATTAAATTGCGAACGCTCGGGTGAATTTACCGCCTCCATGGTGTATTTTATAAAAACGGCGTGCCGTTCCTTACGCGAGAGGTCTGTCAGCTCAGAAATGAAACGGAAATCGTATAAATCTACGTTCGATCCCTCCGTTTCGTCGTTGATCTCATATTTCACGCAGGGCAAACTGAATTGATATTCCACGGATCTTTGTTAGGAATTGTAAATATACGGCGTGACACTTGGAACGTCGGCGAAATAGTTTTCGTTACTTTATCGAATTTATCTAAATATTATACTCGGCGAAATATCCAATAAAATATTCCGTTTGTTAATATATTCAGTGAAATATTCAATAAGCATTTCCATAAAATATTCTGTTTGCTAAAATATCAGTAGAATATTATATTTATTAGAACATCACCGCTACGAAGATTGTTATTGAAGTAACAGCTATTAACCAACACGTTAAAGCAACATCGACCAACGAACGCGTCTGGAATTTAAATAAAACGCGGATCAAACGTAAAATTCTTTAAAGCCACGACCGTAACGCGTCTTTCTCGGTGTTTATCCCGCGGGCTCCGATACGCCGGCTTCATTAGGCTCTCTTATTCCGCCGCGTTTTACATAAGCTCGTTACAATATTTACATAATGTATTCGCGGGGCGCGCGAGCGCGTAACGGATCGGTTAACGTTTCGAGTTTACAAACTCCATTGTTTACCTTGCCCGCGCGGTTAACGTGATTAATTAACGGTCGGCGGTGCCGGGTGCTTCGCGAGACTTGATATTTCCACGAGAAGAAAAAAACGAAACAAACATATTTGGAAATGAAACGGGAAAAAGGAAAATTCTGAATGACCCGTTCATTAGCCAAATCTGTTGACTCCGCGAAACAAGAAGCAGAGAAACGATGCAATTTATTGTACACTGATCTCGAGAATTACTCTTTAAATGGAAAACGAAGTGCACGTTGGACAATGCGATTCACGCGATTAATACAAGCGAAACTTATTGCAATTTGCACCATTCAAAAGAATTTTCGTTGTTTCGTCATAAACCCAATAACAGTGAAGTTTATATTAAATACAAGATATCAACTATATAATAAATATTTCTATACTATAGAATTACGAAGGAATAATTGAACTCGAGAAATTTTGCAGTTTTTCACACGTGAAAGTACAATGTCTTTATTCAAACTGTTTCTCGCTATCTTTTACTGTCCTCAAAACAATCCACGAGAAACGAAAACTCTCATTCTTCTCAAGCCGCGGTTTCACCCAATATTTAGAAACAAGCAGCTAGATAACAACGTAATGAGTACTGTAATACCAAATCATTACTGATTACCTCGAATACCATTTGCCTTTACTACGAAGGAATAAATATTACTATAATAAAGCGGTCGAAACTCTCGCGGCAGTCAACGCGTTAACCGCAGAATGTTTGAAAACTGAAAAAAAACGGGGTTGACCGATTTGGCCAATAAGCGATCTGGGTCGCCGGCGACAATGTTGCTAGGTTGCCCGTGGGAAACAAGGGAAAAACGAGAAATCCGGGATCGATACACGCGGAATGGGATTCGGGAGTGCCGGTTCGGCAGAAGAGGTACGTTGCGGCGTTAAAAATGTGCATCGTCGACGACGCTGGAACGTCTGAATGCACGGAGACTCGATTTCGACCGATGACTCCTTATCGGTCTGATAAATCTGATATCCCGGTGCCCCTGGCGCAGCGAACTGCTACAACATTCCGGCAATAATTGAATCGATCGAACCAGAGGCAAG